CACACACACACACACAAGGACTGTGAGCTTGGAGTCAGAGCTGCAACAGCTTTATGGCCCTGAGGAGTTTACCAAGCTTCTTGGCCTCACTTGTTCTGCTTGCCTCACTTGATTCTCACAACAATTAAATTAGAGAAAGAATATGAAAGTGCTTTTTTACAGTGACATCGTATGTAATGCATCATTTTATTTCCCTGCCTCGTCTACTGGGCATGTCTCATTCGTTTCACTATTCTACTTTTGTGCATTACTCATCTCCTCTGTAATCAGACTTGTCTTAGGCACTTGGATGAATTAAATTGTTTGTGGCCATAAATTTACAAATATTTCTATTAACTTCTTATGGTTTTTTTAATTAACATTTTCATATTACTGATAAAGAGCCAGTTTTTAATAAAATATACACCTAGGCATTTATAAATTCATTTGTTACACATCCCCTTATCTAAAAAGTCCGACCCTTCGCCTCCAAAGTTGAGAGTGAACCCTATCTTTCCCACAGCACCAGGGACTTACTCTTATCAGAGCATGTATTGCACTGTATCGTGACTTTCTGTCTGCTTTCTGTTGCTCCTGGACCATAGGCTACTCCCTCATTCATCTCTGTCCTCAGCACCTCAGGCAGTGCCTAAGTGCCTGTGTACTGAACGAATATTTGAAAGCATCACTCAAAGCCAATTACTTTTGCAAATATATTTGCCCAGGTTCCACAACATTGTAGACTTGGGTAGAATGATTAACTATAACGAGATCCATCCTACTGGTTCATTTATTTCTAAAGTCATTGATCCCAATGTGGCTTTCTGGATGAAGATCTCAGGATTTACTGCCTGGCCTGCCACACACCCATGTGAACAGCAATGATGTAGAAGACCCTCCCTGACAAATGGAGGATTGTGGAGGTGTAGACAAGTCAAGGCCGTGTGAATAATTCCTCAATATTAGATCTGTGTGCAAGTAAGAGCTTCCGCTATTTTTATGTTCTTGGAATCGGGGTCACTTTTGCAGCACACTTGAGTTAACATAAAGTGCTGTATTATAACAAAGATTTTGAAGCAAAAGCCATTTGGCCCTTCATTCAAAAGGGCTGCAGCCAGCATTGAAAAGTCCACCTCCTCTTTAATCTTCTCTTTCATCTTCAGAATCTCCATGCTGACTTGCTCCAGAGCAAGACCCAGATCTCTGCCCCTGCCTTGTTAATATGACTCATACTAAAATGGGCTATTAATAATAATACTCCCTGCAAAGCAAATTTAAAGATAACTACATTTTGGATTACATATGCTCACATGTACAACAATCCCTAAGGGCTTTTAAAAGTGGAAAAAAGAAAATATTTCCACTTGCAAAAGGCAGCAGGGGCTCTGTTCCAACATTTGAAAAGTAAGTCATATTTAAAGCACGAGCCAGACTTGGAATTTTTTTTTTACTAAGAATGATAGTTTTTTGGAAAAGGCATCACTCTGAAAAAACACCATGTAATTCCATATGGGATATCTTTGTTTCTTACCTGAACACGGTAAAGCTTAAGTGTTAGGCAAATGTTCCTATTACATTTCAAATGCACTTGTTCCAGTTTTTTACCCTTAGGATTGAGTAAGTGGAATCTGGGTTAAAGAGAATTGAGTCATAAGCACTGCACATCTAGGGTATTACTGACCGAGGGAGGTGGGATTCACAGGCAAGAAGCAGATGGTTTACCCACCTTGTAATACCAGAGCTTTGAAATGAGTGCATAGTTAGTAAAACTGATATTATACTGTAAAGTAAAGAATTATGTACTTAGAAAAGGTTAAAATACTGATTGTTGGCCAACCCAAACACAACTTTGGTATCCAGAGTTACCTGCTTAGGCAGCTCAGGGCTCTTGATCCCAGCATCTTTCCACATATTGAGGTTCTCCTCAGTGGTCCCTGCAGTTCCCAGAGAATGCTGGCTTCCAGGCCCAGGCTTGCCTGGTCCCTAACACCTAAGATCCTTCAGCTAGTAGATGGTTATTTGGGATAGAACTCGTAGGCAGAGGAGCCAAATGGTCCAAGAACTAGGTACTTACATTTTGGTCCCTTCTTTTGTGATCTAAGGTGTCCTGCTGCCTGTGGCATTATCCTCTTTTTGAGACCAAAGCTGAGACTTGCCTGCCCCCATCACCACTGATGACACAAGCAGGTTCCTAGGACGATTTCCAAGCAAAACACACTTTGTCGTTCTCTGTGCTGTGAGATTCAGACACGGGGCTCCACCTGGGTAGTCCTGAGTTCCTCCCTGCAGCTGAGACTTTACTCGTTTCTCACCCCCAGCCCCTCTCTGCCTGGTCCTTCTTGGCTACCTGTTCCCTGCGGCTTCACCGATGTTCCCGGCCAGCATCCTATACAGATGCTGCAGCCTTCCTGTCCTTGTGGCATTAAGATTCCTTTTTAAGAAGGAAATTACTGGAGCAGGTGATTCACCTTAGACTAGGAGTTAATTATTCAGCAGGGATGATCACAGAGGCCCAAGAAGAAAGACAGGCAGGGGCATACAGGCCTGAGAACTAAGCAGGGCAGAGGAGATGGGCCAGGAGGAGACGAGGGAGGGAAGGTGATGAGACAGTCTTCCCTGACCCGCCATGTCCCATTCCCAACACAGATTATTTGCAATTTGCCTCCCAATATTGCTTCATGAAGACCAAAGGATTTCCCATGGAAAGGATATGCGTGATTGCAGGAAAGCTGGTAGGTGCTTTCAATGAGCCCTTCTTCATCGAGCCCCACAATGATCTTCTGTCCCCAGATGGCGCAGATACTGTCTGACGAGCTCCATGTGGGCATCCCACTGACGCTGTAGAACTGTTGGGGGAAAGGCACCGAGCACCACTGAAGAGGAGAGCACAGGCCAGTCTCCGAACACGGAAAACACTGTCAGTCTTTACTGCTCCCTCGCTGGTTTAGAGCTTGAAACACTTCTGCCCGTAGGAACGATGCTACAATGGAGGCAAAGTTTCCAGGCAAAACCTCACCAAGCCCCCAATGAACCCAAAGTACATTGCTAAATATTACCTCCAATCTAATGTTCCGACTAAGGAATCCTTCAAGAGGAACAGCTTGGATCCAGGGATGTAGCTTAGAATCACACAGGAAGCTTTTTAAGCTTCTCCAGAGCCTGACCCTTCTCTTTATTCTCCTGAGATTCTGACTCATAGCTCTGGAGTAAACCCAGGCATCGAGATACTTTTTAACTCCCATGTGATTCGAGTGCCTGCACATACACACACGCCATCCATTCAAGTTGCTGGTGGCTGTGCCCATGGCTTGCGGCAGTGCTTTCATATATTCGGTAGTTGAAGTGAAGATGACAGACGATGGGCGAGGTCAGGTGAGAAGTCTCCAGAAAGTTGGTGCTTTAAGGCTTGGTTGTCTTGCCAGGGTAAATCTCTTCTTCCTGGCCCACTGGAGAAGAGGGAGCATACAACTCCTCTCTTCCTCTCCTGCCCATAAATAAGCACTAGAGGCCCTGGGAATTTTTTTACGGGGTATGGTTTCTGGTTTTTGTTGGAGGAACTGGGAGTGAAAATGCTTCCTCCTTTGTTAACCTTAAACCTTACAAGAAAGGCAGTTGGCTCATAGGTGACACGTGGCGGAGGAATTCCAAAAGGTATCTTGTTACAGCATTTCACCACAGACATTGGATTCCAGGCTGGAAGAAAAGGGTAAGCTAGGGCTTGTGGAGATGGGAAAGGGCAGATGGGTGGGGAAGAAATCAAGCTAATGTCCACCCAGCCCTGCCGCATAAATGGAGCGAGAGAACAGTCCAGACGTTCACTCTTGCCACTCGCACTAGATTTTCCATTTCAGATCTGGCTGTGTACCAAGCAACATGGCTACAGAATTCCTGAGACCACTGGACCATACCTGCAGACTTTGGTTTGTGTTTAAGAGATGTGCATGTGACACAGATAAATACTCCTAATATCTGAATCTGAAATCCATCAAGCCAGCACGTATGCCCATTCAGAGCTTTATATTTAAGAGAGTTAAAAAAAACAAACTATGAAGGATTTTTTTTAAACTCCAGGGAACAATATACAGTCAGAATTATATTTAGCATACTTTTATATCATCTACTTCTTCAAATGCTATATAGCAATAACTGATCTTTATGAGTATTACCCTGAGTCACTGGTTGATGCTAAAGTGTTCTAGGTGCATAAAAATATGACATTAATTTGCAGTAGGCAGAGATAAAGCATTTTTGTTATTGTTGAATTTTTACTAATCCTTTAAATGTTGGCAATTGCAGTATGCTAGATATGGTTACTTCCAAATGATTAGTACATTTTATTTTAAAAGATGCCTTATTTTCTAACCACTTTATATCAATGAGAAATGTATTTTCTAATTAATTAGCAAAGACAATTTTGGGTGCAAGGAGAATCCAGGGAGCAACTGGGCTGAGAGAACCAAAAAAGACGTATCGGTTTCTGAAAATGGATGCAAATATGGTGTAACCTGAGACCGTTTCTCCATGTACCATAAATGGTTACAAAGAATAAAAGCAACACTTACCCCTATAGTAGAAGCCATGTAATCTGAGCAGATCTCTGCAAAATCTCTCCCCATTATGCCGTAGTAGAGTCCATAGAACAGAGACACAATGCCAAAGTGCAGGGAATCCCTAGCCTTGATTCTATTGAAAACAACAGGGCAAGGAAATAAGGATGTGGCATTCCAGGGGCAGGTGAGGGTTGCAGCTAGGAGAATATGTCCTGCCATAGTATCTAATAGAAACTTGGGGGTATTTTTTTCATTGATTGGTGTTTTCTTTTTTGTTAATGAAAAACTTTTAAATTCTCTACATTTTCCTCAAATTTCACCACTCAATGCTAAGTGGGCACAGTAATTCTTCAGAGTGTCTTCAGATGCTTCTTAGGACCACAGTCCTTAGACAAGCTTATTGTAACCAATGGTTCTCGAGCAGGGCTGAGCATAGAAAGACCTGAGCATCTCGTAAAAATCTCCATCTTCCAGCTATACCAGAGGCAATTACATCACTCCTTGGGGACGGGGCCCATGCAGCAATATTTTTGGATGCTCTCTAGACCCCGGATATTCCAATGGACTCGTACTGTGAAATCTTTCCTACACGAAGTCAAGGACCCACACACTTCAGGCTGGCCTGAGGCAGACCTGCTCCGGGCCAGACCCTGTCCAGTAACAATTGGAGATACTTACTTGAAAAATAAATGGAGTCCACTCAATGTAAATACAATAGCCAAATAGCCCACAACACCAAATGCATAGATGAGTTTATAGATTAGAAGGAACCACTTGTAGACCAATCTGTGGAGTGAAAAATGGGGAGAAACACAGAGCATGATATAAAGTATTTTATCTTTTCCAACATTGTCATAAGTCAGTTTTTTTGTTTGTTTGTTTGTTTTTAATCCTCACCTGAGGATATTTTTTCCATTGCTTTTCAGAGAGAGTGGAAGGGAGACAGAGAGACAGAGAGAAACACTGATGCGAGAGAGATACATCCATTGGTTGCCTCCCACATGCACCCTGACCAAGGTCAGGATTGAGCCTGCAACTGAGATACCTGCCCTTGGCCCGAATCGAACCTGAGACCCTTCAGTTCATGGGCAGATGTTCTAACCACTGAACCAAACCAGCCAGGGCATTTTTAGTTTCTAAAATTCTATTTATTATGTAATATAAAGAACATAAGTACATTATATCAGGTAAACTCAATAGTAATCTAGAGTTTTAATATACTATCAACAAGCAATATATAAATAGTACTACCATGTACATGTGTTTCTAGGTATATGCATATATAAATTCATTGTAATTTATCTATCTTCCTCATGTAAAAATGGCCTTCAGGGATGGTTCTCTACCTGGGACCCTCCCTCCCTCCACCCCTCCTTTTCTCATTTGGCTTCAGAGTTAGCTTAGAGTGGTTTTAGCAGGGGCACCTTGGAGGCAAGCAAAACCTAGAGGAGAAGTCAAGAGGGGTGGACAAGAGGAAGTCAAGAGAAGTCAATTACCTCCCCCAGGAGTTTTTCTTCCTTCTGTTCCTGCTGCCCCCAAGTCCCAGAGCAGACAACCTCAGCCTCCATCCCATCGCACCTCCATCAAAGAGCCCCTCACCTAGCCCTGGGATCACCTTGCAAGAGTGCTTCAGCCTTGTTTTTTCCTGCTCACTGGACGCACTGCCCATGACCTCCCTTAAGGACTTTCCTTCTTCCCACAGGGCCTCAGCAGGGAAGTGAGAAGATGGGGGTTGAGGGGGGAGGGGAGGTGACCTAGAAGGGACTCCTGTACTCTGTTCGTTCCCCTCATCCCTGGCAGTGAAAGCCCTTAGAAAAAGCTATGTAGTGGGCCACATGGCTGCTTCATGCCTGGGAGGCTATATGAGAGGCTGGAGCCCAGTTCCATTCCTGGTGGACCACAGTACAAGTCTCCCCAGCTCCCCCGAGCAGGAAGAAGTGGTGGAAGGAGGAGTAGCTGGTTGGGAGGCTACCGTGGGCACCCAGAGGCAATAAGGGGGTGGCTGGACTGTTGCTCTCAGGGTGAACAATGGCAGGAGGCCCTGTTTGTCCCTCAGTCCTTTCTTTCCTCATCCTCCCAAAGCCCCTCTCCTGCCTTCCACAAACTTCAGTTACAGTCTCACTGCAAGAGACCTGACCCCACCCTCTCACCTCCAGGCCCAGGGGCCCCTGTCCCCAACTCTCCCACCTTCCCTGGCTTCCTCCCCGTTGGAGCCATTGCAGCAAAAGATTAAGTTCTATGATATTACTGATGTTATTTTAAAAGATGCCCCGCTTCACTGAGTTCCAGTCAGAAGGGACTTTCTAAATCATGTTTTAAGTGGCGGTTGTGGGCTAGCCCGAGAAATGAGTTGTTATTTACATTATTTCTACAGTGAAAGGCTTTCCTCACTTCAAGCAGCTCACATGCAAGCGCTGCCTGGGGGCACCTCCTCCTCCCGGTATAACCGTGCCTGGGAGAGGCGTCCGCAGTGAGGAGTTAGGAGGAGCCTGAAACCCCTAAGAGGTGGCTCCAATCGCTGTGAGGCTGTGTCATCTCAGTAGCGACCAGAACGGGCTTTGGGGCCAGAGTGACTCACTGGGTCCTGGGGTTGGTCCTTTGGGTTTGCCAGTGCTGAACACTTTGAATCTTTGCTCATTACTGGCAGATCAAAGTGGAAGTTTGTGCTGCTAAAAGAGGTGATGGTGGGAAAACTGGCAAACTCCAAGAGGAGCTCCCTCTCCACCCAAAACACCAGCCAGCACCAGGGTGGGGTTCCTTGAACTCCACACGTACTCCACACACCCTCTCTCTACCTGAAGGGCCTCTCTCAAGGTGATGTCAGTATCATAGCTGCTCCTGACTAACACCTTTTATAAATGCAGTTTTCCTGTGCAAATTGTCTGTTGATGTAATAAGCCACAGCATGCTGTTGGGAGCAGGGGCTTTGCATTCCAGTAGTCTTTGGTTTGTTTCTGGGCTCTGCCACTCACTGCCTATGGGACCATGGCCAGCCTGCTCAGCATTTCTTCCTGTGAGTGCTCATTTATAAAGGGAGGGTAGAAACACCAGCTCCAAAATAGTTCTGGAGTTTGTGTGAGATAATGTATTAATGTTTAAAAGACTTGGCATGTTAAATACTCAATATGTCATATTATCGTTAGGGATGTGTTAGATTTTCCAAATCTCACCCTCAAAATCTTTCTCCTTATGGGGGTTATAGGTTTCCAGAGTCCAGAATTCCCTTGCTAATCTGATTACAGATAAGCCAAAAAAGAAAACTGGGGTAGTGCTTCAGAGCAGTGTCCATGAGGAAAGCTTGGCCTCGGGTTGGAATTGATGGGATCAGGCCCAGCTCTTTGTGACTGTGTGTGGCCTATTTTTAAGCCTGAACATTGCTTGACAGACAGCCCGACTATAGTAGAGACAAAACCCACTTCTCCTTGTGTGCTACTCTGCCCCTCAGCCAGGGCTTGGTGTTCTCTGGGGGAGGAACGGCGGTTTTTAAACTGTGTCAGTGCCAGAGACCACTCCTCTTGGGATTGCCTTCTGCACCACGAGTGTTTGCTAAGATGTGACTTACCCATAGCATGATGATTAAGCAAAGACCCCTAAAGATCCTTAGGGCCCACTACCTCTCATCAATGAGTTCCCTTATCCTTACTGCTTATTCTAGAAGAAAAGGGGCCCTAATTAGCCTCTCCCATTGTTTCTCATCAAATGGCAGGCAGCTGGGTCTGCTTAAAATGTGAGTGGAGTATCTTGGCTCTCAGACTATTGCAGGGCTCAGCTTTGCAGGAAGAAAGAAGCTGAAATGGATGCACTGTGGGCATAAGAAGCAGAAGGAGAAGAAGCCATCTGGGAGATGTGAGCCATGGTCTACTGAGTCAGCATTTGGGCTGTTTCCTGTAGTGAAGTTCCTCTCCATTGAACGAGCTGATATGCACAGAAAGACTGCACTGTGCTAGGGTAATTCATTATACAGTGGAGAAGGGAACTGCTTTCATTGAAGTGCAATATAGATTATATCCAGGGGATGAAAAGAAGTGCATTTCAATCCATTCAAAACTTAGGTCCCTTCACCAGTCTTAAATAGCTTTCAACATTTTGTGAGAAGGAGGAAGGGTGCAGCTCTCCGTTTGCTGATGGGGGAATCAGGCCCTACAAAGGCTAAAACCTCAAACTGGCCAGTTTAGAAGGTCTCCTACCACCACCCCAGAACACTTCCCCAAGTGGGATTCAATTAAAGTACGCATAAGCCTGACTTTGTTTATTTGAATTTCAATCTTTACCATTACACATATTGACCTGATTTCTCTCATTGCATGTTTCCTTCTCCATATTAGAAGGAAAAGTTGATTTTGCTTTTTTAGAGTATTAAAAACAAACATCTGTAGTCATAAAAATATTTCACAGGCGTTTATGACTTATTCTCCAACGAAGATCAAAATTTGACTTTGTCTTATCACCATGAAACACTTTACACATCTTCTCTTTACCCCATTTCAGTTTTAGCTGGATTTGGATTCAGATCCTATCTAAAGAACATCGAGAGCAAACTTGTGGGCAAATCTTGGAAAGATTTGTGAGTGGTGTGATGACATTATATAAATGTCACAAGGTTGACAATGGCCTTTAAAATGATCAATGGACTATTAAAGCCTCATTTGTTACGAGAATAATACGTTGTCCATTTCTTATGATTTACCAGATGTAGACCTCATGCAGAGTTGTTAGAAATATAGACTTCTAGCTCTTTCTCTGTTACAAAATGTGCATGACATCTTATAGTGGAATAAAACAAAATGCTGAGTTAAAAATAAACATGCAAATAGTGCTCTAGAAAACTTAACAGTTTCACTTCTCCTTCTCCTGGCCTTCACTAACTAATATCTAAAGTAATACATTTTGCCTGGCCGGGCGTGGCTCAGCGGTTGTTCGATTCCTGGTCAGGGCACATGCCGGGGTTGCGGGCTCCATCCCCAGTCGGGGGCGAGTAGGAGGCAGCCGATCAATGGCTCTCTCATCATTGATGTTTCTCTCTCTCCCTCTCCTTTCCTCTCTCTGAAATCAATAAAGATATATTTAAAGATAATAACAATAATAATAAAGTAATACATTTTGCAGGCGTGTATGAATCACCATGAAATCATGAATGTAAACTAACGGCAATATGGCTAATCTGCAAATAGTTTTGTTCCTGAAGGCAAAATAAAGTATAACATCCGCCTACCCCATCCAGGAAAATGGAACTTAAATAGACTGGTTCGTGTTCACGGTAAAGGGGATGGTGGAGGGAAAATGAATGGAATAGGCGCCGCGCCCTCCCGGAGCGGGGCTCTCGGGCAGCTCTGAAGACGATGTAACTGGTAACCACGGAGAACAGCCCCACAGAGACAGCAACCGCCCCCAGGAAAGTTTTACGGTGAGATACAAAGGGACAACCCACGTGGGCAGCAGGGCCACCAGCTGCTAGAGAGGTGATCAGGAAGTCTCCCGCAATGACCGCGGCCCGGAACGGCCTGGCCATGATTCAGTGATTCAGAAGCTCCCGGGGCAGCCCCGTCCCCCACCCCGCCTGCGACACTCAGCTGGGTGGCCGCCCAGCTGCTAAGTCCACAGAGCGCAGTTGCAGAGCGGATTGGCACGAGCATCTGCAAGTCCCAATGGGAAGCAGTTCCAAACATCCAGCTTCTGACACTTCCTTTCTTTGGGACACTTCAGATGAAAGCAACTTTAGACTTCAACAGCTCTGTGATTTTGGACAAAGGAGCCTCCTTTTAGTTGTGAAATGGGAGATAACAATGCCTGCCCTGCGTGCCTATGGGGACTGAGGTGGGCACGAAGGAAATCACGGAAGGGAATGTGCGCTCTGCAGACAGTGCTACCCAGAGCTCAGGGGCTGTTTTACCACCCAGGGCACAGGCGCAAGTGCACAGTGACCTCAAAGGAGGAGGTGTTGTCAGGGCAGCTTCTGGGAGGCTTCTGCCTGCGTCCCAGTGCACGCTGCAGGGTTAGCCTTGAATTCCAGCTGTGCCTTCAACTCGCCCCGGCTATTAGACTTGCACCCCACCATTTGCATCTTGTCTTTCCTCTTTAGTTTCTGGTGCCTTTTCCAGGCACCCTAAGATGTGGGTCAGACTATTTCCTGTCCCTCTGTGTGTGACCCCTCTGTGGCCTGTACCACTAACCTGAGTCCAGCTAGCCCGCAGCAGGCTCTGTAAGTTGGTTGGCCTCAAGTCCACATGGCAGGAAGCTGGACTGCCCTGATGGGCTGTGGGTCAATGACTTGATACAATTACCATAGTGACTGACACTCCTACTCTTGAGATCTGGCCTAATACCAGCTATTCACCTCTCTTGTGAAAAAGCAGATGGGTTTAAACAACAGCAATAATCTTTGGTCGTTTATGTTTTATGACATTTAGACTAACCACCTATTATTTGCTTGACACCAGTGTAAGAGGGGAATGGCAATGAGGTTTTGTCTCAGGTGTGGGCTTTAATTGGTGGTGGCACCTGCCAATGCTCTATTGAGGAGGATTCTAAGCCTGGGTCCTGGTTTTGCGGTAGAATATCAGGATCGATTAATTATGTCTGCCAGTGATGCAGAAAAAGTTGTCAGGGCATGCACGTCACATATTTGTCATCTGAGTATTAAAAAGACTGGTGTCCTTTATTTGTTTTCTTTACCCTCTTCATCTTTGTGATAAGAGGAAGTGGCTTTACACAATGAAAACTTTAACAGAAATTGTCTCTTAATACACTTAAATAAATATATATATACACATACATATACATATGTATGTATATATATGTATATGTATATATGNAAACTTTAACAGAAATTGTCTCTTAATACACTTAAATAAATATATATATATACATACATATACATATGTATGTATATATATATATATGTATATGNTTTGTGATAAGAGGAAGTGGCTTTACACAATGAAAACTTTAACAGAAATTGTCTCTTAATACACTTAAATAAATATATATATACACATACATATACATATGTATGTATATATATGTATATGTATATATGTATATATATATATATCTTTATTGATTTCAGAGAAAGGAAGGGAGAGGGAGAGAGAGAAACATCAATAATGAGAAAGTCATTGATCGGCTGCCTCCTGGACGCCCACAACTGGGGATCGAGCCCACAACCCAGGCATGTGCCCTGACTGGGAGTTGGACTGTGATCTGGATCATATGTGGATGCTCAACTACCGAGCCACGCCCAGCCGGGCTCTTAATACACTTAAAGTCTTGTATTTGCAAGCTAAATATATAGAGGAAATCACAAATAAAACCCTTTTAAGTTTGGGAAAAAAAGAGGTGGCTATATAAAAAAAGAGTTCATGGATGTATTTTTGGATCCTTTAATAAGATCTTGGTTATAACAGTCCAAAGGTCAATAATCAAATTATTTGTTAGGACTCCAAGATGTAAATGAAAAAGGCAAGGCCACAGCCAATCTTCTTTCCATGTCAAATAAGAAGACATTTCCCAGGCTTTTCATTCTCTTTTTATTGCTTCATCCCTAGAAACAACCTAGATCTGAAATCTTAGTGTTGCTCTAAATCTTTCAGAGAACACTACAGTTGTCATTATAACATATGCATTTGAATGAAAATACACATGGAGCAAATCTGAGATAACTATCTAAAGAGTTCAGAAAAAAAAATCCTATAACTTGCTTTTTGTTTCAAAATTCCAGGCAGTACTTTCAGGGAAGGGTACATAGTCTTTACTCTTGTCTGAACTAGTCAGATAATTGCTTTAGTTTCCCACCCTCCTTTGTGGGTATAACCTAAGCTAATGAATGGGCTTTCCCCTTCATTTATGAAATTCATATATATTTTCAAATAGGAAAAACAGGCTTCCTTAAGGAAGTATAATAGTTTCTGTGAGGACCAGAAACCTCATGCGAGAAAACCAAGATTCAAGATTAGCTCCCTTTAACATTCAGCATTAGCAACTCTAACCCTCTACTGTTGATAATAAAAGTGTGCAGCTCCTTAAGAAAATCTCATCAGCACTTTGGTCCTTCATTTCCTTTTGCTTATTATGGTGATAGTGACCTATGATGTATTATAGGTTTTGATTTTTTTTGTTCATTACTTCTGATATCAAAAAAGGAAATGGACATGAAGCCCATCTTTCAAAATCTGATCACCTGCCATTTGCATTTTTCAAATCTCTGTTTTAAGAATTTGATTCATCTTTTTATTTCCCTCATAAACATGCTGAAGTGGTTTGTTTGTTTTTTTAATGAAAAGTTGAGTCAGTTCATTTTACTTCAGTGAAACTACCATGCTCCTATATTTTATACTTTAGGTTATAAGCCAAATTTTACAAGACTAATCCATTTCCTCAAATCGGTGGAGTTACACTCTATGATAGCTTGAAGTGATGACTGGACTATATTTTTATAAAAGTAGTTCTCTCCCTGTGGATTTATAAATACAACCCATTTCTGAAAAATCCCAAAATTCTCTTACTTGATGTCTGGATTTAATTAACAGAGAATAGCAATGTTCCAATGTATAGAAGCGCTACTTTTTAAAAACAGGCCTTGGAGATCAGAAATAAAAGCAAAGCAAAAGAAATCATTATAATGTATTCTGTATGCAAATATTTAATTTCTTAACTATCTTTAAAGTCTAAACCCAGCACCGCATTTTCTCAACATGTAAGGGGAAAGGTCAGAAATTTGATTATGAATTAAATAATTGCATAGAGAAGTCCTTTTGAAATGAAGGCCACATTTCATAGCAATTTAAAAAATTCTTTATCAATTTCCAGAGCAGTTAAAACTTCTCATTTTTAATAGTAACTGCCACATATGAAATGTAGGAATGTTGTGCCTCATAAATAAACGCATGAAATATGTGAAATCGAGGTGCATGCATGCAACGGACGAGCCTGGCAGCTGGGACACATTAATGATGCCAGAGGGGTCACCATCTGGGCATGTGCGTATAAAGCACATCTGCATGACTGGCCCTGCATCTGGATCACATCACCCATGTTCTCCCCACCCGCACATCATGGCAGGAGGAATGTCCTGACGGATCAGATGGTGCCCAACGGTACCATGTTTTTTCTTTTATCATGCACATAATGAATCTGAAAAGAACTGCAAATCAAGACAAAACAAAGGTATCTTTTCATTTGTCTATTTGCACAGGATGGTGAATGGATCACACAATAAGGAAAGAAGGAAGAAAGGGAGGGAGAGAAGAAG